ATGACAAGTGTGTTGGGATGTCATTCAATGGCCACCCACCTTACTCTTTTACGATAAACTGTTCCTATACTCTACCCCATGTGGACCAATACAAAGTTCTTGATTTCTGGCTTAACAACAATTGGTCTTTCTCTTAACACAACCATTAGGCCGGTAAGGATGCTTTTCGTGTCCTGAATCTCATAAAAGGTTGTTTCGCCCGTATTCTGAAGGATAGTTTTCCCGTTATTTACGAAGCGTAAAGTACGGAAGCCAAGTTGCACACTCCGGTCTCATCCGAGATCGTGACTACCTTGAGCGCTTCCAGAAGGCCGCTGCAAAATCCGTCCTTGGATGTACGGACCTCCCCTACCCAACGCGACTTCAACAACTGGGCCTCTATCCGTTAGAAATTAGACGCAGTCGGGGCGATCTATTTCTCCTCCATTTCTTCTCTTAAAACGGCTCACTCCACGACAACTTTCGAACCGCGCTGCATTTATTCCAGTTCAGTCCAGTCTAGTCCAGTCCAGTCTAGTCTCCACTGGATGAATAATGGCCTTCGCAGTTCGAGCGTCCAGATTAATATGTTGTAGGCGAGGGTTCTTGTCTCCCAAAACCACGTTTTCTGCGTTTTCTTTAATCGGAATTTGAAAAAGAGAAGACAGAAGAGATGTCTTCTCTCCTCGTCGGTGAGGGACCTTAGTTTTCTGAACAATACCAGTTTCAAGCACAATTAACAGGCCCAATTCCATAGTTCTGGGCTGCAGTTTACCTGGCTTTTAGTGACAATACAATACCACCTAACCCCAGGTAACACTTCTGGTCAACACGCATCCAGTGCCGCCTTGAAGTTGTGCACACTGGTGCAGTTGACCACTCCTCCGGGAACCCGTTCCACATTGGTAAACCCTATGTGCGAAGAAGTTGGCCCGGACCTAGCATGGTTCTGTTGGAGCTCAAAGCCATGACCTCTCGTGTTTTGAGCATGAAAATCCGTAAATAGGTCATGTGCATGGAGTCCTGATAGCCTTCTGTCTGTTTAACAGGTCTCTATTAGATCTCCGCGCAGTCGTCTGCGTTCCCACAAAAGAGATTTAGGTCTCCCAATCACTGTTCATAGCTTTTTTTCCTTTTGCCCAGCTACTACTCGGGTAGCAAGTGTTTGCTTCTTCTCCGGACATGCTATATCCTTTCAATAGTATAATGTCTATGCTTGAACACAGTATTCTAAGTGGGGGCGAACTATTACTTCGGAGATTAACTTGTAGATCTCTACGTTTCTACATGTAAGGGCGGCACACAATCTGAAGAGCTCATCATGAGCCTTATTGGCTACCTTCAGACATTGTGCTTCAGGCTTGAAACTCTTTGTGAGAATGACTTCCAATTCCTTAACTACGTCTGTGTGCTGCAGTGCCAGCTGCCCGTCCCGAACGGTATCGGCTCTTGCTGTTAAGAGCTGGCACTTTTCGAGATTTAGTGGTAAGTCCCACTGAATCGACCATTTTTTAATCGCTTCTACATAGCCTTCTAGATTTTTTCCGGCTAATTTCACCTCATCCGCAAACATAAAACAGGGATTTTGGAGATCCCCTGTCAAGTCGTTGATGTAAATTAGAGGTTTTAGTGGTTCTAGAACTTAATCTTGAGGCACCCCGCTTGCTACTCCTGCAGGTTCGCTCAGAGAGTAGCCAGCTTCCACACACAACGTGCGATAACTGAAGAACTGCACGACCCAATTTTGCACAGCCCTCTGTAATCCTGCATCTTGTAGATTGCGTTCTAGGAGCTTGTAGCTGACTGAACCGAAGGCTTCGCAGAAGTCGAGGTAGCAAACCTCGACCTAATCACCTTCATCCAGCCTTTTGGTAACCTCATTCAAAAAGGTGAGCAGGTTAGATGGGCACGATTTTCTCTCGGTAAACCCATGCTGTGATAGTGCCAAGGGGTTGTGAGCGG